TATTATACATTTAAAGTTATTCTAAAAAGAAGTAAACCATCAGTAATAAAAGAGACAAAAATAATTAATGGAACATCTCATATGAACAATAGGAAAAACGTAGCAAGAACGATCTCTATTTGAGTCTCTAGTGTAAACCCGCTGGCCTGTGAGGGATACGAACTCACACAGTTTCTGTCCACAAACGTAAGCGCGATCGGTCTAATTAAGAAATGAGACAAAAGGTATATCATGGTTGCCAAAATTTATTGTCTCGTGTAACTTAGAAAAAATGAAGTAATGGCCATTATTTATAAAGATATTCTGGCTTTGCATATCAATAGTCGTTGGTATCATATGCTATCGAAAAATACATTAAATGCAAATATGTATGAAATGCAACATTATCTTTCATGTTTTGTAAAGCCATTCCTTAAATATGTTTATATCGTGCGCTGATGCAATACTTGACACACAGACCACCCCCATTGAGTTTTTTAATGTATAAAACAAATCTTGCTTTACGCCCGTATGAATCTACTTTCCAAAACATTGTCGAAGGCAGACGAGCAACATGAGTCCTCTAGTTTTATACATCTCAAATATCATCATCTTCTTCAACAGGATCAAATGCAAACGTAAGGGAAATTATCCTCTTATTAATCCTTTGTTTAGTTTATTGTTTCTTTTCGGTTTTGCTTATATCTCCCCCTCCCCCGCCCCCACCGCCCTGCTCTGCGCTGTGTTCATTTGATCTCTTTACCCTTTGAAACCTGGGGATTTTAGCCAATGAAAGGCGTCGTTATATATTCCGTTTTCAGGGACTGTACAAATAGTCATTGATGTATAGGGGAAAACAACTTTTTTTTTTTGACCTGGTGGTATATATTAATCTTTTCTTTGCTTTTGCTCTTTTAAGCAAAACTGAAAACTATTGATAGATTATAGTAACTTAACCCTCGTATCTTTGTATGGTATATATGAACAGCTGTATAAACAGTATACTGCTACTTAATCTTCATATCGACGCTCTTTTTAATAGTAACTTATTACACGTTTCCTTCATTTCCTTAATTGACAGCAAATATGATCACACTATCTACTACGGTATAAAGAGAGAAAGAGGGAGAGGGGGGGGAGAGAGAGAGAGACAGAGACAGACAGACAGACAGAGACAGACAGACAGACAGAAAGACAGACAGACAGACAGATAGAGACAGAAATTACTCTACTCACTCTCTCGTCGCAGGTTCACGCAAGAGGCAGACGGTTCGCTTGTGATCCGCGGGGTGGAACGCAGTGACCGGGGCAACTACACCTGCTCCATTCACAGCGTGAGGAAGTCTCCTTACGTGCCCACGTCCACTACGCATGTGCTGCACGTGCAAGGTAAGTCTTACGTATTATATCTGTTTTGTGTATATTGATATAGGCCTATCGGTAGTTCCTTTACGTTTGTGAGTTGTTTTCTTCTTTTTTCTTTCTTTCTTTCTTTGTGGCGCTGTTTGATTGCAACGCCATCATATTCACTAATTACTTCTCGCACATCCGTTGCAGTGCCACCTGCCGCGCCCTCTGTGCACATCGCGGACGCCACCTCCACGACGCTGACGGTGTCGTGGGCGGCGGGGGACACGGGCGGTGCTCCAGTCCGGGCGTGGGCGGTATGGTGGCGGGCGGCGGTGGGCGGAGGAGTGTGGCACACGCGAGAGCTCGGGCGGGCGCACTCGAGGCACGTGATCACCGACCTGCAGTGCGGCGCCGAGTATCAGGTGAGGCGGAGGGCGTTGCAGGGGCGGGTGCTTGCAGTGCAGGTTAAGAAAGGTTCAGGGAATCGAAATCTTTGCATTCTTTCGGCCATGGGAAAAGGCGGGTGTTGCAAGCGCCTTTTTAGCTTCCATTGCGGTGGCGTTTCCTGGTTTAAAAGAGGTGGAGTGTGTTTTTGATAGGTTTAGGTTAGGAGACGGTTATTGCAGGTGGTCGCATTGTATGTGTTACTGCAGACGTACCGATGATAACTACAGTGATGATATTGCCGGAAACGATAGGTATAATGACTATGAGGCATTGTTTGTATTTCAGTGAGGTTCGCTTGTTGGAGAAAAAGAATGAGGAAGATTGTTGTGTTTTGGTATTAGGTGTGTTTTAGGACAGTTATGGATGTAATGGAAAAAGTGTGTATGAGTGTTATTATGATTAGGTACGCTGCTATTCCAGTAAAAATATATATATATATATTCCAGCAAGCAGCCACATCCTTTTTAACCGTTTTCGCCCTGTAATGAAGTGAAATGAGATGATAAGAGTAGCGACATCAAAACAAGAATGACATTTCCGTAATGCCCTTCTCCCCAGCGCATTCCTGACCTCCCCTCTACCCCCAGGTGTACGTGACGGCTCGCACCCACGTGGGCATCTCCCCCCCGTCCCGCCCGCTGACCGCCCGTACCTCCGGATCGCCGCCCGTGGCACCGCCCACCCGCCACGTGGCCTCGGGCAATAGCACGGGCGTGTGGGCGTGGCTGGGCCGCTGGGTGGACGGAGGATGCCCCATCACGCACTTCACGCTGGAGCTGCGACGCCCGCGGGACCCCACGTGGACCACGCGTGAGTCTCTGGGCTGTTGCAAGGGAAATCGGTCCTGTCTGATCAGTCTAAGTTGCGATGAGGTAGGAGGGGGACTTACCTCACTAATCTTGGCCTCGCTGGGTCCTTTCGGGCAGCTGGCGAGGGCGGCGCGAGCGACTCTGCTGTCGGTTATGCCAACTGATTTCATGTTTAATCGGGAGTATGAGAGGAAATCCAAGGTCATTTAGCAGGTGGACCGCGGAATATTTCAACTCAATGAAAATAAATAAATAGATAAATAAAGATCAAATAAAAAATCGAGAAAATCAGAAAAACAAAGCATTTCCTCTCATGAGACTGCCATTCCTCTGCCCGCATCGCCGCTCATAATGATAAAAGCTATATTTTTAGTTCCAAGTCGGTTCACATAATATTGCATCACTTTTCATTTGAATAAACTCAAAATTGAATGCATTTGTGCTGATTGCTTTTCTCTCTGTTGCTTTTATACACCTGAAGAAAAGTTTCAAGTATTATCTAAGCTGAAACAATAGAACGCCAGAGCTTAATTTGTCTCTTTTTTCATTACATGTTTATAGTGGTATGTCCTCTTATCTTGATCTCCTGTCAGAAGGGATCGAGCTGACCTTCCTGCCCGGCGACCTTGCTCACTGACCTTCCCTTGCAGTGGCGAGCAGCCTGGCGCCGCAGGAGGTGTACGAGATCGGCGGCCTGCAAGTGGGCGCGATCTTCGGGCTGCGTCTGACCGCCCACAACGCCGCGGGCGCCACCACCACCACCGTGGACATCACGACGGGGCCCGGGGGCGGCGTGGGGGCCAAGCCGGCGGGGGAGCTGGAGCTGGCGCCGCCCAACCCCATCCACACGGACCCGCGCCTCATGGCCTCCGCCGCCGCCTCCGCCCTGGCGCTGGCGCTCACCGTCGCCGCCGCCGTCCTCTGCTTCCGCCGCCGTGAGTGCTCGCCCCGGTCGCCGCCCGGCCTCGCTCTGTCGCACGACTGGTGACGCCGCATGCGACCCCAGCGCACGGTCGGCTGACCAGAACTTTTTAAGACTAAATAAATCGCTTTTGGTGGTTCACGGTTTTCGTTTCGGGCGTTTGTCTCTTCTTTGTCTCTATGTTGACACCCGTTTTATAAGGTCTTTTGCATGTTCTTGCGATCTTGTGCATGGATTGTGTTTTGTCTATATTGTTACTTTTCTGTTAACAGGCATTTTTATTTGAATGATGGATACTCAGTTGTTTCTGTTATTCTTTATAGATTAAAGAATATAGATTTTGTGTTTGTGTTTCATTTGTTTGATATCTTTCTTCTAGAATGTATATACAGCACACTCTCTCTCTCTCTCTCTCTCTCTCTCTCTCTCTCTCTCTCTCTCTCTCTCTCTCTCTCTCTCTCTCTCTCTCTCTCTCTCTCTCTCTCTCTCTCTCTCTCCTCTTCTCTCTCTCTCTCTCTCTCTCTCTTCTCTCCTCCCTCTCTCTCTCTCTCTCTCTCTCTCTCTCTCTCTCTCTCTCTCTCTCTCTCTCTCGCTCTCTCTCTCTCTCTCTCTCTCTCTCTCTCTCTCTCTCTCTCTCTCTCCCTCTCTCTCTCTCTCTCTCTCTCTCTCTCTCTCTCTCTCTCTCTCTCTCTCTCTCTCTCTCTCTCTCTCTCTCTCTCTCTCTCTCTCTCTCTCTCTCTCTCTCTCTCTCTCTCTCTCTCTCTCTCCCTTCCTCCCTTCCTCCCTTCTCTCCCTCTCCCTCTCCTCTCCTCCTCTCTCTCCTCCTCTCCTCTCCCTCCCTCTTCTCTCTCTCTTCTCTCTCTCTCTCTCTCTCTCTCTCTCTCTCTCTCTCTCTCTCTCTCTCTCTCTCTCTCTCTCTCTCTCTCTCTCTCTCTCTCTCTCTCACACACACACACACACACACACACACACACACACACACACACACACATCACACACACACGCACACACACACACACACACACACACACACTCACTCTTTAGTATGAATAGACTTCGACTGATAATGAGGCAAGTAAAGCAAATTTTCCTCAGCTAGTACAATATATCGAACCATTTATAACGTACATTTTAGAGTTTGATTATTTTTTATCAGTGAACTTGGTTATTAGGTCAAGGTATGTGACCTTATATGGTATTTGACCTTATATCAAAGTGTAGAATCTTTACTTGTAGTTTCTTGTACTTGTAATATCAATTCATTAAGCTTTCTTTGAGGATTCCTAAATGCCTAATTGTTTGGAGTGATGAAGAAATTAATTTAGAAATGAAAATAAATATATGAATCTATATGTTGTAATATTTCATCATTATTATCTTTCTCTCTTTCTCTCTCTCCCTCTCTCTCCATCTCTCTCATTCTCTGTCTCTCTCGCTCATTCTCTCTCTCTCTCTCTCTCTCTCTCTCTCTCTCTCTCTCTCCTCTCTCTCTCTCTCTCTCTCTCTCTCTCTCTCTCTCTCTCTCTCTCTCTCTCTCTCTCTCTCTCTCTCTCTCTCTCTCTCTCTCTCTCTGGATATTGCCTGTTTAAACGTAACTGTTGGGATGAAATGGTATATTCGATAAACTACATGACACACCACCATGATAATAAAAGCTATATTTTCAGTTCCAAGTCGGTTCACATGATACTGCATTACTCTTCATTTTAATTAACCCAAAATTGAATACATTTGTGCTGATTGTTTTTTCTCTTTGTTGGTTTCATACACCTGAAGAAAAAATAAAGTATTTTCTCGGCTGTAACAACAGAACTAGAGCTTAATTTGTCTCTTTTTTATCATTACATGTTTATATTGGTATGTTGTCTTATCAGCTTCTGCCATTTTCTTCTTTCTTACCGTTTTCTTTGTTTGATTTTAATTATCTCTGTCATTCACTTTTCATTGGCTTTAGTGTAGTCTTGTCAAATATGTTATCTTTAGAGCTATGTATATTCATATTCTACATGCGTAAAGATTAGTTAGTGGTCTACGTTTAGGGTAATCGCAAGTTTTTCTTCATCATGGTCAATATTTGCATTATATGGTTTTCATAACTATCGTTCACGTTTTGATCATTGCCTGTTGTCATATTCATATCATTGTCAATGTTTCTGTTTGTTGCTGTTTTTATTGCTATGATAAATATCTTTGTTATTACCAACGAAACAGCAACAGCAGCATCCTCATTTGATGCCATCTTCTTGATCTCATGCGATCACTGTCACCAATAACAACAGGCATGGTTCCTGCAGGAGCTGCCGCCGGCAGGACGGGAAGCGGCGCCACCGAGGACCAGGAGGCCGAGCAGAACAAGACGAACCTCCTGCAGCAGCGAGACACCTACTACGCCACCGTCAGGAAGCCCCAGCCAGTACCTGCTACTCTTGAGAGAATATCAGGTACCACGGAGAAGGAGACAGGTAGTGTACCTGCACGGCGAGCTTATCTTGCTGTGGGGAGGGAGCACCAGGTACCGGGTGGGAAGGGAAAGGGATACTCACGCCAGCGCGATTTGTCTCCAGGCTTCAGAAGGCTCAGTTACTTGATTAAAAAGATATTTCCTCTGCAGACTATCGTTATGAAGTCGAATATCTTTTTAATTACATATAAATTATTGTGCGCCAGATGCGTTTATAAAATCATGTTGCAGCTTTGGCTTTAACGGTTTGTTTCCTATCGTATCCCTTTCAGTGAAGGATTTCGAAGTCGTCATCTCATTTTTAATAAATCTCGTTTGCATATTGTATTTTGTTTTCTACCATTGTATCAATCACGCTAAGAGCGTTTTACTACCCACCCCCTTCAGTGTTTCTATTTCATTCTGTCGTATTTCTGCTGATTCACACCCATGTATAGACACGCAACACAGCCATACCTTTGAACCAAGATTATTACCTTCCATTCCATGATCTTACAACACACATACACAAAGACCAAAAAAAAAAGAAAATAAAAACACACACAAACACCTCACTCCATACGATACCACCACGCCCCCCCCCCCCCTTTATCCCCAAACAACACATACACCTCTACAACAACAACAAACACCAATACCTCACAACTCACGCCTCGCAACCCACGCCTCACAACTCACGCCTCACAACCCACGCCTCACAACCCACGCCCCACAACTCACGCCTCACAACCCACGCCTCACAAACAACCCACGCCTCACAACCCACGCCTCACAACTCACGCCTCGCAACTCCTCCGCGCAGAGTACTCCGAAGACATCTACCCGTACGCGACCTTCCAGCTGGGCGAGGGCCGCGGAGGTCAGGACGAGACGGTCACCAATAAGTTCCAGACCTTCGTGTTCCAGGATTCCCGCTACGGGGTCACCGAAGGCCACCCTCCGACTTCGGTAGGTTTTCGTCCTCCTGTCTAGTGGGAGGTCGACCTTGGGTGAGTGCAGGCGGAGGGTCAGGGCGCCGTTGGAGTGTTATGAGCTCGTTGTTGTTATGAAATTAATTATTGTTGTTTATATGATTGCTATTATTTTTATTAATGCTATTATTTTTTATTATTATTGCTGTTGTCATTATTATTATTATTATCATTTCCATTATCATTTTGATTGTTATTATTATCATTATTATTGTTGTTTTTTAGCATTTTCATTGTTATCGTTACCATCAGTATTGTTATGTATTTCTGTTATTATTATAATTAGTAGTATTACTGTTGTCATTATTATCATTATCATTATTATTGTTATTATTATTATTATTATCATCATCATTGTTGTTAGCATGGTTTTTATTAATATTGTCATTATTACTATTGTTACTCTTATTATTATAATAATGATATTCATGTTATTCTTATAATCATAATCATCATTATCATTATTATTATTACTATCATGGTTGTTATTGCTATTCTATCATTATTACTATTCTTATCATTATTATTGTTATTATTATTGTTATTATAATTATCCTTGTTATTATCATTATTATTATTATTATTATTATTATTATTATTATTATTATTATTATTATTATTATTATTATTATTATTATTATTATCATTATTATTATTATTATTACTATTATTATTATCATCATCATTATCATTACTATTATTATTATTATTATTATTATTATTATTATTATTATTATTATTATTATTATTATTATCATTATTATTATCATTATCATTGTTATTATTACTATTATCATTATTACTATTATTACTATTATCATTATTATCATTATTATTATTATTATTATTATTTATTATTATATTATTATTATTATTATTATTATTATTATTTATTATTATTATTATTATTATCATTATTATTATTATTAATATTATCATTATTATCACTACTATTATTAATAATAATAATAATGAAAATAATAATAATGGTTAATAGTTCTTATTATAATAATCAATATTATCATTATTATTATTATTATTATCATTATCAATAATATTTCTTTATTTCTTATTATTATTATTATCTTATTAGTATTATTATTATTATCATTTTTATTATTACTACTATCATTATTATTAACAATCATTATTACCATTATAATTACTGTCATCATTAATCGTAATTATTTTTATTATTATTGTTGTTATCATTATAATGAATATTATTAGTATCATCATATTGTATCATCATTATTACTATCATTATATTACCATTGTCATTATTATTATATTATCATTATTGTCTTTATTATTATTATATATCATTATTATTGTTGTATTATTATTATTATTATTTTATTATTATTATTATTAATTATTATTATTATTATTATATTATTATTATTATTATTATTATTATTATTATTATATTATTATTATTATTATTATTATTATTATTATTATTATTATTATTATTATTATTATCATTTTATGGTTGTTCTTGTTATTTTTATAAATTATTATTATTGTTGTTGTTGTGTTGTAATTATCATTTTATATATTATTATTGTTATTATTATTATTATTATTATTATTATTATTATTATTATTATAACATTATCATTGTTATTATCATTGTTATCATTGTTATTATGATTATTATCATTATCATTATTATAATTACTATTATTGTTATTATTATCATTATTATGATTATTATACTATTGTTATCATTATTATTATTAATATTACTATTATCATTAGTATTGTTGTTATTCTCATTATTATTGTCATTGTTATTATGATTATGATTATTATTATTATTCTCATTATTATTTATATCATTATAATAGTATTAGTCGTATTGATATTACCATTATTACTGCTAATGGATAGCCATGATTTATTCTGTCTGATTTAGCCAATTGGGGTTAAATATGTAATTTTAATCTTATGAACTTTAATCACAAATCAGTAATATATTATCACCTTAGTTTGTTAATCCTATAGGTAATAAGCTATTAGACAAATGTCCATATCATATGAATTTAATATTTTGAACTTTATAAAGACACGTTAAAAATGACAGCAAGGTCATATGGTATGGATATTTGCCGTTTGTACATTGAATTCACGTAAGGATATAAGTGTCCTTGGATATCTTGAAAAGGGTGTTCCGCTCGCATCCCCTTCACACTGTCATCCTTATCCCCTCCCCTCTCTTTCCACACGTCTGAGATATCACTGTAATCATGTTAATACACTGAAGGGGATAATAATACGAACATCTTTTATCTCTTTAAAATCGGGTAAAGCTAAAGTAAAGCCTAGAAGTAGTAGATTGCAGGACTAGTTTCACAAGCATAGCCTCAGACAAGGATAGTCTCCTAGTTTTAAGTGAGGGTTCCATCCCTGACCTTGAGTGACCATCCATTGCCATCCCTGAGTGCCAAGTGCCGGCACCATCCTCGACGGACAGTGCGCACATCCAGACAGTGATCTTATCATTATGACGAGAGAGCAGATTCGGGAAAGACGTGTGAAATACGAGCCTCACCGTGACGTTAGATCATCAAAGTGACTGTTGACCTATTAGATTCCTTATTATAGTTAGCGATGGAGATAAAGTTGTTTTCCTTCGAGAGTAAAACTAGAGATGTCGCACATACTGAAAGCTTGAAGAATCTGTTCTGTTATCTCTGGTAATTGCCTGTTATGCTATCTCTGTTAATTCACTGCCTTACTTAAGAGCAATGCTCTTGATTACATCGTAGTGCCATCGTAGCTTTGATATTTCCATCCCTATCGATGCAGTGTTTTATCTTCATATGCACAGTGGCACTGCCTCTAAGCCGCAGGAATCACCTGTGACAAAGCTTTGCCACCGACAGAGCAAGCCTTCGACTCTTTGAGAATGTAACTTCCAGCAGTATCATTACGACCGTGACCGCGCTAGCAAAGACTCTCGTTGCGATGACCACTACAGTATACCAAAGGCTATACTGTAGCGTCAAATCCCGTGACAGTAGCTTGACAGTGTGACCCGCGAGTGACAGACGCCCGAGACCGCGGCACCTTCACCGACCGCCATCAGCACCACCACCCATCACTCCCCTAGCCCTAAGTAAGCGTTCCTGTCCCTCCGCCAACCCTTCCCGACGTGCCCCTCATCAGCCCAGTCGACCCACGCCCAAAAAGAGCCACGGGCGTAGCGGCAGTCGCGGGCGCGGTGCGGGCGGTCCCCGGAGTGAAAGTGAAGAGTATGACTCCCTGCAGTCAGATACGGACACCGAGCACGCCACGTCCTCGCGCACGGAGTCCTCCATCCACCTGGACTCCGCCACCCTCGAGAGCCACCACACGGCGCTCCACCTGCCCCTCGACCCCCACCTGGCCACGCTCGAGCCGCGCCCAGACGCCCAGGCCGCCCACGCCGCACGCAGGCCGGCTTCCAGGACCGTCCACCACAGTAAGTCCGCCAGCTGTGTTCCTAATTTCATTTGAAAGTATTTACTTTTTTTCCTATTCTTCCTTATCATCCACGACCTTGCATGTCATCTGGTCCGTCGCCCATCATTTCTTCCGTTCATTCACAAGCTGATGACCCCTGACCTCCTGATGACCTCCTTCCAGACCTGATCTACCACGCCCCCGAGTCCAGCACGTCGACGGAGCCCTCGCCCATCCTGGAGCGGAAGTCGTTCCCCCGCAAGAGCGACGGGAACAAGCTGGGTCGCGGCGGGGCCTTCCAGGGGCGCGGCCTCAGCAAGATGGTGGCCAGCATCCGGGGCGGCACCCAGGAGACCTCGCTCTCCTTCCCGAAGGCCGGCCACGCCTCCGACTCCAAGAGCTCGGACGACGGCAAGTACGGCTTCGCGCGCCAGATCACGCCGCCCGTCGGCTTCTCCAGCAGCCACAACGAGCTCTCGGAGGCGGAGTGCGACCTGGAGATGAGGCGGAGGAACAAGGAGGCCGAGGCCGCCTCCGCTGCGTACGTGGGCCACTCCAGGTCGCAGTTCCGCTCCTACGTGTCCGGCAAGGAGAAGGACTACAGCATCAAGGTCTAAAGAGGGATACAAGACCCGAAAATGGCGGCAGATTACATTAGGTGGTAAAAAACAGTGTCTGAATGTGCAATACGTCCATTAAGATTGCACGAATAGCTGTATTTCACGATCTCTCTGGCATTTGAATCCTTCGGGAGTCTTCTCTCTAATGCGTTGTGCTCAAGAAGGACTCAGAGTGTGCTGTGCTTGCTTATACAAGGGTGAATACGAAAGGAATTAAAAAGCGAATGCATTATCTAGATTATGGTTAAATACATATATATATTTATAGAAAGAGACTGAAACAGTTTCTTGCACAGATATAGAAATATATTGCCAAAGAGTGCGTGCGTGGTCGACAAGGCAGTGTGTGTATTTGTACAGTGTTGCCAGATCTTCTCTTCCAAGCACTGTCCATGCGGTAGCAATATGTCGTTATGTGTTAAAGAGCTGGGAGTATGAAGGGAATGAAACGGGTGTGTCTTGCAAGGTCACTGGAGATCGTGCGTGTTACAGTTTCAGTATCTTTAAAAGAGAAGCCAATAGCTCGATGAAATGTGAAAATCTATATGAAAATTGTTGTCTATTTTTTCTTCAGATTAGACAGTCTATCGAAAGTCATTATGAAAATACTCAGATGTTTGTAAAGTCCGTATGGATACTATTTCTACGTTGGAGATTTACAGATTACGTGTAGTGACGAGAAGTAATGTGTATTGTATAAATATTCTTGTAAATAATAAAATCTTTTCTTCAATGTGCCATTTTGCAGTGTGTAAATTACAGAATGGAAAAAAAACTGCGTGTTATTTCAGTGTCATTTAAACTTCAAAGTTTTGTATATAGAGTAAATGTGCAAAGTGAAAAAAACTGATTTTAATTTAGTTCTTCCACGATAAAAAAAAAATGTGGAAGAATTAATAATTTTTATTCAAACTATTTTTTTCTTCTGAGGGGCTGTTTGATGGCAAATGTGATGATGACGATTGTGATATTAGGAAAGCCAGTATCATTAACACATGGTATGAAAAATCTCGTATTAATGGTCTCCTGTTCTTCAGTATGTAATTTGTGTTCCATTTTCTTCACTTTTTTATTTATTTCATTATGCTTACTTGTTCTGTGTCTGAATGTTGGGACTGAGAAATTGACCGAATACTTTACAAAACAGGATTTCTACATTTCTACAGTCTATGATAAACTTGTAACATGTAACATTGTTGTCAACATTACAACTTCCCATTAAGATATTTCTTGTATGGCTTTTAAAATTGTACACTAACACCCTGTCTTCTACATCAATGTATTATTTTACAGGAAGTCATAGTCTTCTTTATCATAAACACACATCTTAATTTCTTTAAAGTAATTGGATATAATTCAAGCCCCCCCCTCCCTCTCCATTGAAATGTGGCGAGGAAATTCCGCAGACTTTCTTCGTGTGTAGTTGTTGTTCCCGTGAAAAGATTTGATGTAACAAAATTTTACAGCAAAAATATTGTTCTGTATGTAGCATTGGACTTTTATAATAATAAATATATCAAGTAAAGAGATTTTACTTTTTACCCTTTCAGATTCAAGAAATAATTCTGATCCACAGAATTTAACGTCTAATTCCATGCGCAATTGTTTACAAGCAGAGAACAGGCAGGATGGAAGACTATGTTGAATAAGCCCTTTTTGCCACGAAAGCGTTGCTAATAGGTAATCGAGTTCTTCAAACGGACCATTGTCATATGCCTCACATAGCATGATAAACCTATATCTTACGTCCATTTGTCTTGTTAAGAGAGATTTCCTCTAGAGATGAGATGTATTTTTCCGAAGAATTTCCATTTTCTGTGGCTGTGAGTTTTCTTTCTTTCTTTTTTTACATTGCATTAAACCCCTCATCACGGTGCCCCACTTTTCCGATAGACTACGAAGCACCACTACCTTAGGTTGAACATCGAATGACCATAGGCCTAGGAAAAGGGGAGGGGCGGGACCCAACTTCTGACGCCCACTCCTCAACCTTCGAGGACATTCCCTGTAAACGAACAGTGCAATTCCCAAGTTACCCAGACGTTGAAAACACTGACCCCTGCAACTGGGGGGGAGCAGCTACAACTGAATCTGGTGTTGTAGATGAAATAACCATTATGTCAAGTATTACCTAAATGAAAATGTCAGACATTCCAGCGTAGAAATTGATGAGTCTATCCCTTTGAAACTGGTAAAACCCGGGAGCTTTGTGCAATTTTCTGAACCCCTGGAAATTTGGGGGGAACCTACTTTGCCCCCCCCCCCCACCCCCACCCCTTAAAATACCTTACTACGCCTGTGATAATCGCTCACTGCCATATCATAAATGCCAATATCTCTGATATGTGAAGAAGAAACGTTGAATCATGCTTGACAACAAGTGAATATCTTGTTTATTTGATACATTTTTTTAATGAAATGATTAAACAAAGTGAAAGTTGAAGCCCGTAAAAGTCAACGCTTCCCCATAGCACTCTTTAAACCACTTAAGACCATCATTTTCGCCCTTAATAATGAAATGGGATTGAGAAAATACAATAGCTGTTGCTAACATAATAACTATTATCATAAATTTCTACCCGATTTTGCTCACCCTTCTGAAATAGGTATGCCGTAGATGCTTATCATCCTTCCCTGGCTTTTTGCAGGGCATGTAAACTGTTCTGTAAATAATAATTTTTCAAATCAAATCTCTCTCTCCCTTTCTCACTCTCTATCTATCTATCTATCTATCTATCTATCTATCTATCTATCTATCTATCTATATATATATATATATATATATATATATATATCCTCTCTCTCTCTCTCTCTCTCTCTCTCTCTCTCTCTCTCTCTCTCTCTCTCTCTCTTCTCTCTCTCTCTCTCTCTCTCTCTCTCTCTCTCTCTCTCTCTCTCTCTCTCGTCTCTACATTTCTCCTTTCCCTCTTCAACCTTTAATAACTTCTAACTTTCTTCATTCTCTCAATTTTCCATCTTAACTATCCGAATTTACTGGTTTATCTTTTCATTTTTAATATTCCACGCAGAACTTCCAAGTCTTTGAGGAGGGATCCATATTACGAACTTTCAGCATAATTCCCAAGTAGATTACAGGCTTGTAGTTTTATAACTGCTTAATTGTTACATTAACCTGAAATCTACCTAATTTTACGATTTTAAGGATGAAAACTATGAGAAAACAAAATCATCATAACAATTTATAGTGATTACCTTATGCAGTTAATTATATACATAAATACATATGCGAATAAAGTGCATAGGTACATTTATTTTTTTAAATGTGTAACAAGAAGTTAAACATATATGTAAATACTACAGTTATACATTGAAATATACGAAGAGCGTACCATTCTCCTTTTGAGATGTATCATAGAAAATGTAATTTAAGGCTATCCTAAAATAATTGTTATTTTCAAATCCTCATTGCATATTCGTAATAAAAGGATATACATAAATATAATGTGCCAGAGTAAATAGGTAGTGTAATTTTCTATATTACCTTCGCCTCTCCGATATCGACAATTTTGGTATCTTTGGATTCCTCTCACTGTCCACATTGCAAATATATAGTTTATATTGCGCGGAAACCCACCGTTAGTGACAAAGTTGACCCGATAGCAGGGGAGGGCATGAAAGGTTCCAGGGAAAATGCGGGGTTAAATAACATTAATAATATAACCCACAGTGAAAATAACCATGGTTATTCACATGACTTTCCATTGCAGGGGGCTGTGCCCCCTGCGACCCCCCCTGGGGGAGCTGCCGCCCCCCAACCCCCGCCGAGGAAACAAAACCTCCACCACGTATTCCCGGCAGGCTAGAGCGTTACACAGTTATCGGCGATCTCGGAGCGGCGGACGTATTACATTTACCTCGTAACATTCCCACTGAATCAGCATACTAACCTTAACATAGTCAACACTGTATACAGATACGATTGTAGTATAATCAGGATGAACAAGGTATACCATGAACAGAAGAGCGGCGGTGGCCCGCCCTCGTCGGGTCGGCGGGTTTTGCGCCTTTTTCGATGCATCTAGTTCGTGTGCGCTCTATCCTGCCGTGAATACGTGGTGGAGGTTTTGTTTCCTCGGCGGGTTGGGAGGCCGCAGCCCCCCCACCCCCAGGGAGGAAAGTCGTGTGTATAACCATGGTTATTTTCACTGTGGGTTGTATTATTAGGGTAATTTTCTATATTACGTCCGCTGCTTCGACATCGTCGCCCCTGCTATCGGGGCCAAGTTTGCCGCGCAATAAAACCTACACATTTGGATTGTACAGAGTGAGAGGAATCCAACGATACCAAAATCGTCGATATCGGAGAGGCGAAGGTAATATAGAAAATTACCATAGGTAGTTTTGACCAAGAAATTATATATAACCATAATCCTAAATTATATGGCATGGGTTATAGAAACGGATCCGTTTCTACACGATTTTCTTCCTTGGAGGCACCGATCCGATTCCGTACCTAACCGAAACATTGGACCTAGTAACTAACCTTAACAACCTAAATAACCTAATACCTAATTATCTACACCATAACTTTCCTTCTTACTTAAATTTTCCCGGCATGGGACATTATAACTTACCCTAAACCTTACGCCTTCTACTTACGATAACTAACTAACAACTCTTCCACCCTAACTAACCTACAACCTTATAACGACCGACTAACTAAACATTACCTAACACTACATCCCTAACCTAACCTAACCTAACTTACCTAACCTAACCTAACCTTACCTTACCTTACCTACATAACTTAATTAAACCTTACCTTACATAACTAACTAACTAACCTAACCTAACCTAACCTTACCTTACCTACCTAACCTTACCTTACCTTACCTTAACTAACCTAACCTCCTTAACCTAACCTAACCTAACCTAACTAACCTAACCTACCTAACCTAACTAAACCTAAACTTTACCTACTACCTTTTACCTTCATCTAACTCCTAACCTAACTACCTTATAACCTAACCTAACCCTTTACCTAACTTACCTAACCTACTTACCTTAACTACCTAACCTTAACCTAACCTATTAACCTAACCTACTTACCTTAGCCTAAACCTAAAACACACTAATAACCAACTTACCTAACCTTACCTTAACCTAACCTACCTAACCTAACCTAACCTAACCCAACCAACCTAACCTAACCTACTCTACCTTACCTTAACCTACCTAACCTACCTAACCTAAACTAACCTAAACCTATACCTTAACTTCCTTATTTACCTTACTTACCTACCTCCTAACTACTAACTAACCTACCTAACCTACCAACCTAACCTAACCTAACTAACCCTAACCCAACCTAACCTATAAACTAACCTAACCTAACTAACTAACTACGAACCTAACCTTACCTAACCTAACCTAACCTAACCTAACCAACCCTAACCTAACCTAACCTAACCTAAACCTAACCTAACCCTAACCTAACCTAAACTAACTACTAACCGTAACCTTAACCTAACCTAACCCTACCTAACCTTACCTAACTAACCTAACCTAACCTAACCTACCTAACTAACTAACCTAACCTAACCTAACCTACTTACCTAACCTAACCTAACCTAACCTACCCTAACCTACCTTACCTAACCTACCCTTAACCTAAACCTAACCTAACCTAACCTAACCTAACCCCTAACCTAACCTAACCTAACCTAACTAACTAACCTAACCTAACCTTAAAACCTAACCTACACCTAACCCTTAACCTAACCTAACCTAACCTAACCTAACCTAACCTAACCTAACCTAACCTAACTAACTAACCTAACCTAACCCAACTAACCAACCTAACTAACCTAACTAACCTAACCCTCCTAACCTAACCTAAACTAACCTAACCTAACCTAACCAACCTAAACCTAAACCTAACCTAACCTAACTAACCTAAACCTACCTAACCTACCTAACCTAACCTAACCTACCTACCTAACCTAACCAACCTAAACCAACCTAACTAACCTAACCTAACCTAACTAACCTAAACCCTAACCTAACCCTAACTAACCCTAACCTAACCCTAACCCAACCTAAACCTAAACCTAACCTAACCTAACCTAACCTAACCTAACCTACCTAACCTAACTACCTAAAACCTAACCTAACCTAACCTAACCTAACCTACCTAACCTACCTAACCTAACCAACCTAACCTAAACCTAACCTAACCTAACCTAACCCTAACCTAACCTAACCTAAAACCTAACCTAACTAAACCTAACCTTAACCTAACCTAACCTAACCTAACCTAACTAACTAACCTTACCTTTACCTTACTAACCTAAACTAACCGAATCCTAACCAACCCAGCCTAACCAATTTATGTATATATATATTATATATATATATATTATATATATATTATATATATATATATATATATATATATATATATATATATATATATATAATATATATATATATATATATATATAATATATATAATAATATATATATATATA